TAGCACATATATGATATGCTGGCTTGTGTTTCTAGTACCCACATTCCTTCTTGCCGAGTGACATTTCCTTTTGGCTATGTGAATCATCAGAGAGATACGCTTTTGGAAACAGTATGCAACATATGGACCTGTTTGGTGGTGGTGGCGGTGGGACTAAATAGAGCTTAAAGCTGTTTAAAGCATTTGGTTGTTACTGTGTTTGTCGATCTGATATTCTGTTGGTCATACATCGTGAAAAGGTTTTGTATTCCTCAGTGAAAATGTTGACTTTATTTATTTTGCACATTTATAACTGTCCTCTTTTCTTTGCAGGTGGCCAAGATCGCAGCTTATGCTTACAGTGCAATCTCTCAAATCAAAGTGGATGCTAAAGAAGAACTGGTAGTCCAGTTTGCCATTCCCTGATTTTTTGACTATGGCCTGCATATTGTTCCTCCCATCTCACTCTGAGTCACTTTTGCATCCTCACCCTCCAGCCCACCATTTATCAAAGCATCATGGTAAATGTGCTTCTTAGTTATGGCGATACAAAGACGGAGCCGATGTAAAATTACACCCCGTGGCAGCTCCTTTAGTGTATTTTATTATGGGCCAATAACAAATTGTGATCCTTAATGGAAGATGGTTTACTGTCAATTTGGGGATATTTACAACAACAAGCCCTCCTCTATACAAAACATGTGGATCACAGTCTTTTCCAGAATCAGCTGAAAAATCTTCACTTCATTCATTAAAGATTCATGTAAACAGTTTGTCTCAGTACCTACATTATGTCAGTTTCTCTAGCCTGTATACACAGGCGAGCAAGGCTAGCACTACATGGCAAACTGTTATCCAAAGGTACGGAGGAAGGAATATACACTATCCACCTGGGACAGAGTTGACGGAGTTGTAGTATTTTTGGCACAAGGCATTGGCTGTTGCTTTATTTACTTGATACAGTCTATTCTGGAACAGGAGAAATAAGGAATTTGTGGGATGGCATATCAGAAACCATCACAGTACCATAGGTGTAAGTGCAGTGTTTGAGTGCTTTAACCATTCCCCAGCAAAAAAAAAAAAAAAAAAAAATTTTGCGACATGACTTAAAAGTTTGCACTTTTTGTCTTTAACTCTGTTCTGACATCCTTGGGACTGCCATCTCTTTGCGCAGCAAAAACTGTAAAAATTGGAGCCAAAAGAAAGATGTCATTATAATTTGAGGTTCATAATACAATAATTCTGACATACTTGGTTATCAAGCATCCCACAGTGATCTGGTGCAACTCTGCATCAGGAGCCATGTTTCACTACAGCCTAAACATGTGGCAGCAAACCAACCTGACTTGAGTAGCTTTCATTGATAATGATTAAAAACTGACAGTGCATCAGGTTTTATTAGTAATTTGCTGGTTATCCCACTTGAGGCCAAATCATGAGTGACCAGTCTATGGCTGGTGGCTGAGGATGCAAAGACAAGCAGGGGGTTCTGGGTGTGTCTGCTAATGTCACTGGGGGCGGGAATGGATGGAGCTATCTTGGGGCTCAAGTTCTCTCGTTTACAGACAGTAATGTGTCCTCTGTGGTTTTCTAGCACTGAAATAATGAACTGGCCGACTCTTTGAATCAAATCTCAGAACTTCACATATTTAACAGCAGTGGAGGAAGACCAAGATGAGAGGGATGGGTGTGTGGAGGGAGAGATATTGTGTATTCATGCCTTCTTTGTACAGAATTTTCTGATTGAATATAAAAACAGATGTTGGATTGTATGAAGTCAATCTTTTTGTGGAGAGTTCATTGGTCAGGTTTGGCCAGGTTCTTGTTATGATAAACATTTTTATGAAACACAAGAACACTTGAAAGGCCTGTGTTTGTTGGCTATTGAAGCATTTTGCAGCAGACTGTAATGTTGGTGATGTTTGTCAGAAGCTAACCATTGTAGCAGTGTGGGAGAGCATTAGCCATCTACATACCACAGCAGATAAAATGATACCAGACCTTTTGTGAGTATTTATTTGTGTTTTAAAATGTATATTTGCTCTTTCGGAGGAGAGCACGTACAGGGAGCCTCTGTGCTCTTGAGTTTCTAAAGGGATGATCTGCAAGTCTGTAATTATTTCAACAATTGATTTAAGCTTTCTGCAATGGAATCTTGGCATTTTTTTCTGTTTCGTTTGTTACTCAAATGTGTAATACTACCTGAAATATGTTTGTAAAATCTTAGGCTAGTACCAAAAAGTTTTAAGTTTTTTTGGTTTTATTAATTCATTAAATACTTTAAACATAATCTCTCGTGTCTGATTAAATAAGTATTAACATCCACGTGCTCATTTCCAGGAAGTAGTTGGTTCAGTACAGAGACAGTCATTAATATTAGTAAGTGGTACACAACTTTGTTATAACGATAATTCATCACATTTCACCCATGTCTGTGACAATATCAGAATTTACATGCATCTGCAATATCTTGGGATCATTCAGTGACAATTATCATTTCATACTAATTATTAAAACAAACGGAATGAAAAAACTTTATTTCCTCAGATAAAAAAAAAATTAAACTGCTGATTTCACAATAGACAAGACTCAATATTTCCCGCAGTAGATGAGTATAGGTCTTTTGGGTGAGTTTAACACACCATGATGGAGTTGAACCGGCAGTCACTGGAGAGTCCTTCTGCTGTTTCTGCTGCGATGCCAGATATTTGCCATGACTCGCTCCTGCTGTGTCACAGCACTGAAGTCCATTGTCTTTATATGAGGCAGTGCAGAAATCACATGATTCCTAAACATAGAATAGAGACATTTATGCATGTGTACTTAGAGGTTTACCTACATTTTGTATGACAATACAGAAACATTCAGGCTGAATGTTGAAGTCTCTAGCTATGCAAACTCTATGCAAAGTAGACCTTTACTAGTGCTAAACAATCAGTGTGCTATAAACTGAGGTAAAATGTAAGGAAAAAGTGCAAGTGATTCCTGAGTAATACAGTATGATCATTTGAATAGGTGTTTAACCAGCAGCCCCTCTGTGTGTGTGTTTGTAAGTGATGTTGCTATGCAGACTAGGGTATGTAATATTATCCTAATCTGCATTTAAGCACCTGTTACAATGTTATACACTCACATGCTTGCCAAGTAGTCATGCTTCACATAGACACACACTCACAATGTAATTGAACACTGCTTGCATAACAGTCATCCCTCACTCTACACTTCTGAAATGTACAGTATCATATTATGAGATGATGATTGTTTTTGGTTCTGTACTCAGCAAACTACCAGCAGCTGAGGATTACTGCTGGATGCTTTGGTTGCTTTGCTTGATAATGTTCAGTTCTTATGAAGAACCACAAAATAATGGCTGAGAAGTAAAAGCATCTCACAACCAAACATATTAAAGCTATGCAGTATATGTGGGGTGAAGTAAAAGCATCTCACAACCAAACATGCAGTATATATGCAATATATGTGTGGTGCATGTTTGGGGTAAATTTATTAAAGCTGAAAATGTATCCACCTGTAAGCCTTATTGGTTTCTATGGTATTTCCGTGTAGAGTGATGGAGCGTAGATGTGGCAGCGCTCCCAACCTGTCCACCTCTGACAAAATACAGATGCTGTTGCCGTGAAGATACAAAACACGTAGTTCATGCAGTTCACACAAGACCTGGAACACACATACATGAATGCACCCATATTGCAGATGAACAGTACTCATTTATTCTGACAAGAGGTCCCACTGACTAAAAAAAAAAAGGGTTGATGTCTGTCTCTTTAGCATATAGCATCTCTATAATTGCTGCCAAAGTAAAAGCATACAGCAAATATCTTGTTACAACTGATCTAACCAACAATAAATATATCTGTGCACAAGGCAAAAAAAAGACTAGCTGTAGAAAAAGCTCACATGGTCTATATGTGTGATTTTGTTGAATGAAAGGTCAAGCCAGGCCAGCTGTGACGGATCAGCCAGGAAGTGGCTAACAGTCATTGGGAGGTCAGGAAGGTCAGTGATGTTGTTGTTATTGAGACGCAGGGAGCGGCTTAGGTACTTCATTTCTGAATTCTTCTTTAAAGGCCGCAGACCACTGCTGGGTTCCTCTGCCCATGCATCTGAGAACACAAAAAATAAACACTGTTAACGTGAAGCACTAGTGTGTTTGACTCTGTGTAATGTTTCGTTTATGGTGCACTCTGTTTCAAGGGAACCTCTGCAACTGCTAGTTACCATCTATTCATCTGAACAAGATTTGATTTCAGTTGTAAACAAAAACCCACAAGCATGCTTGGCTGTTGGATTACACTGATAACATCTGGAAAAATAGAGATGTTCTAAATATTTTCATTGTTAGATAACAGTGTTTCTGATTTTTGGAAAGAAGCGCGAGCACTCAACAACTCTAAAATATCTATACCATGTGCTGTGGATGGGATCTCTGGACAAGACAATATTGCGGCAACAGCATTATAGCCCCTATTTAACTGTGTCCAAAGTGTTCAACATAAGGTGTATAATATTGAGAGTAATGATTCAGTGGTTATTATGGCACATGAGGTGCTCCAAGCCATAAACAAACTGTGTGGAAATAAAGATAACGGATTAGATAATATTTCATTTTAACATTTCAAATATGCTAGTGCAAGGTTAGCTCCCCTTCTTGCTATTTGTTTTACTGGCTTTAATGTTTCATGGCTTGTTACCAGATTCCATGCTGGCTGTTTTGTTAGTGGCAGTTATTAAAGACAAAGCAGGTAAAGTAGGCAGCCTAGATAATTATAAACACATAGCAAACATACTTAAAACATAACATAAAGTATCCTGCTGGTTAGATTAAATGAGTTGATTTATTCCATGGACAATCAATGTGACTTTAAAGCTAAACATAGCACTGATATGTGCATATACTGTATGTCTGTTCAAATAGAGTGAAGATGTTTTTATTGAAAGCCTATTGCACCCCTCTTTACACTGCACACTTGTTGTCTAAATACAGAAAAGAAAGTCTAGAGGAACCCCAAGTAGCATATAATCATACAATGAGAATAATGCTAACGCAATAGAGATGGTCCAGCACAAGTTAAATGTTGCAGGAGTTAACACCTTCCAAGCAGTTTTGATAATTTTGATGTACAAAGTTATTTATTGGCTTAATATCTCTGGAAATGAAATAATCCTGAGTCTGTCAAATATGAGGCTTAGCACTACCCACTACCAATTTAAGCTTTGGAGACACTGGTACAGTTGTCTTGCTTTATCCTTCTTTTAAATCTTGTTTTATTATTGTCTCTTTTTTAAATCATATTTTTGTATAGTATTTATGTATGTCTTATATGTCTCATGTCATCTTTTATCTGGGCTTTAAGTCTGTAATAAAGTTTTGAACTGAATTGAATTTTGACTGGTAGTGTGTGTGCGTGTGTGTGTGCTACCACCTTTACAACAAAGTGCCCTGAAGACTATAATAATGTTAATGATATAGAGATAATACAGGAAATAAATTATCATAATAACAGACAAGATTAAAAACCTTTAGAGGAATATCACTGTACTACCTGCCAAACTGCAGATGTTTTTAAACGATAAATCCACTGGAGCTCCATACATATTCACACCAAAGCGTTAGTCACCTGTAGGAGGACGACAGTGGCGTGACAGTAAATTACAGGTGAGTCCACACAGCCAGTGATCATCAAACACTAGAAACAGAATCAAAGCTTTTCAAAATAAAATCTTCGCTGTTAGCGAATCTGCTTACATTAAGTTACATATTATGTAGCTATTTGCCATACAGAGGCTAAATCGTAACACTACATTTCTAGTAGTATTAACCCACCCAAACTTATACAAATGGCCATTTTCGGCTTTACGTTTAGTAACTGACCAACCCTAATTAATCTACCTGTGACAAATACCATACACAATGTAAAGCAATTTATAATAGCAGCACGCTAACGTTACTTATTTATCAAGCCCCGTATCAGTTCAGCTAAACGTTTAAATACCTGTCGAAGAGACAAACATTCCGTATCCAAGGAAATGCACAAAGGCATTATGGGATATGTAGTTGGGCAAAATTTCAATGGCCCAGAAATCGTCATGATAAAAACAGTAATAACCATTTATTAACCGGTAAAAGAAAACATTAAAACAAAAAATGTATGTGCGTGTGTGTGTGTGTGTGTGTGTGTGTGTGTAAGGGGAGTCGGGGCAAACAGAAACTTGACTCCAGACGCTCCAGACTGAAGCTCAGACAAAAAAAAACAACAAAAAACTGTGTGGATTTTGAACATTATTTTGACAATCTGTCTCAACGGAAGTCAAGGTCCAGTTAACATCCGGCCCATAAACCAACCAACTTCGTGGTTTTAAGCTGCGTCGAAATGTGAAAAATGATTGGTTGGTTCAAGTTTCAGCAAAGGTTTTTGAATTTGACCTAGTGTCTCATGAGTTTGTTTGTTTCATAGCGCAAAGTCAGGTGGATGGCTATGCAGAACGTATCTTCTGAGAGTCGGAGTATAGAAAAGTGGCGAAAGTTTTTGGCTTTTAAGGTGAGTTGCGGCTCAGAAACAGCATTTTCTTACCACTTATCTTTAAGAAGTAACTAGCACTTGTTAGGTTACAGTTATCGGTGAATTAAATTAGGCTAGACTAGGTTAACAGGAATATAACCTCAATAATGTTATACGTTAACCTCACTAAAAACAAAATGGCGTTTCGTGTGCAAATTAACAGTAAGGTGGGAAGGATTACTGTCAACTTTACCTGTTAAAAGTTAGTAAGCGCAGCTAAGTTAAGGTGGTTATTTGTTAGCCTGACGTTACATGCATAAGCTTGTTCAGACTTGTTTTTCCCCTCACTTTCAGCTTCCAGGTTGAAATCTTTGCTGTAAAGGGTCAACCAAGATGAATAACGCTATTAACTTGGGCGTTAAAGCGCTTCTTGTATGGGTAAGTCGAGAGCGACATTGCTTAAATTAGAATATATAATATAACGTTAGCTAATGTAGACATGTATCTGCATATATGGGTCCAGAGTCACTTGTTTGTAAATGCGTATACAGGGATACATGTATACACATTATATCAAAACTTATGAAATCAAGTGGTTTATTTTATAAACAGTATGATGGGTTTTCAGATATTTTTATATTTATTAACTACCTTTTTAAACAATCTCATAAATGTAATAACTGTACTACATGTTTAATTCATCTTCCAGACTGTTCAACAGGATTACCCCTCTTATTGAAATACATCTACTTTTAACATTTGACATTGCTCTTAGTTTTTTAAAATTTAAATAATCCTATCAGCTATTTGCTGCTTCTCTTTGCAAACATGTTTATAATGTGGTGCTAACAGATAACTTTATACATAATTTGAACAACACTACATTCAATCAAGTCAAAATTGTTATTATTTTGTAAATAGAGGGTTATTTGGTGCTTTAATATCAGGTTATGTTATAATCCTTGTGGCTCTTTTTTCCAATATGAAAGCTGGATTAGTATAGGCTTTCTGTGTTTCCCCACATTGTGGAATAATAATTGAGCAATACAGGTTTTATATATAGATATATAGAGCGTGTGCATGCGTGAGTGAGCATGTTGTTTGTATTGTATATAGAGAGCCTGATTCGGCTATCTTTGATTTAACACAATTATTTATCTATGATAATGTATAACAGTCAAAAATTTTGTTTCAGCGAATCATTATTGAACCAATTTTTCAGAGAATCTTAACCAAATGTTCTAACTCTTTAAAGGTCAACAGCTTAAAAATATTGGACCATGAAGTGACTATCAGCGATTTACAAGATGGAACCGTCTTGTTAAAAGTTGTGTACATGCTGTAAGTAGGAGCAGTGTGTTGAAATGTCTTTTGTATAAACAAGCATTACATTTTATTTGGAGAATGACTTGTGGGTTAATAAGGTCTTTGTAGTGTGCAGATGGCAATTACTTGAGTTAAACAAATTTTATTGATTTGTCTTTGTCGTCTCAGGAAAAAGGAAAACAACCCCTGTTTCAGCACTTGCACTGAAGAGCGATTCAGGCTCATTGCGAAGTTCCTGGAAAGTGAGTTTCATTTTAAAATATCTTCATTTACAGCTTCTTAAAAACTATTGCAGCCACAGTGGCATATCACATATTCAAGCAAAGTATATATATTTTGTGTTGTATTTTATGTTTTTATGTCACTTATTTGGGAAGATGGTCCTCAGAATTTTTTTTTAAAGTGGGCCTTAAGTTACAAAAGGTTGAAAACCCTTGGGCAATATGTTGACTGAAATTGTGCTATAGTCCAAGTTGTTCAAAAAACAACTTCACTCCAGGTACTTACCAAGGGATAAACAATCAAAAGTCAAGAAATGGAGGCTTCTGCACCTTGAAAGATGGAACACAAGTTACTTTTTTCTATGAAATCACATGGCAGAGCACAGAAACAGACATGTCAGCATGAATGCCTTATAGGGCTGCACGATTCTGGGTGAAATATGAATCATGACTTTTATGCTTCGGCGCTGGCATATTTTGACAAGGAAGGCTACAGTTTGTAGTAAGTATTATAGATTTTCAGCTGCTTGTTGTAATATTTCTATTACAGACTTGAACTGACTGAGGCATAATGATGGAAGGTAGCAAAAGAGAGCGGGTGTGAGACAGTGGCATGGGGGAGTTGCAAAAAAGAGACTGAACAATACATATATATGTTTTTATAAGTGATCCTGAGTTTTCAGTTTAAACAGTCATGCTTTCATTATGTTGTCTTTTCATTTATTGAAATGCCACAGTTAAGGAAGGTTGTGTTCAATTGCCTTTTAAACACTGTTTTTACATTTGGGCCACTAAAAATGTACTTTGGCCACCAAATATTGGGACTTGCTGGGCCATGGGGTCAGTGCTAAAAAACACTATCATCTGTCTCTAAACCCAAACACTGAACTCTCATCCAGTTATTCAGGGAAGCAGCTTTCACAATGTTAGATTCACTGTCTATAGTTATATAAACTAGTATTTCCTCCTCCAAATGCCAACGGGTAACACCCTCCTTCATTCTTTGGAATTATCAGGTGTTTTTTTTTTTCTCCTTCAAAACTTCATCATATAATGTTTTGTGGTGATGTGTTAAGTATTTGTACAAGTTACAAGTTTATGGTGTTGCTATCAGGAGCTGACTGTTGAACAAATCCGCACTATATGTGTCTTGACTGTCATCACTTTAAGTACAGTTTTTGACTTGATTTATCCAAATTTGTGGTAAATCTTAGTTTATGCAGCTTTAACTCCTGGATTAATGGCACTGGTTTTTCTGGACATCTTGGTTGAAATATCTATATATCTATGTATGCATGCACATTTTACTACACCCAACATCAATGAGTTTGGTTTTAATTGTGCCAGATAGTGAGGAACGCAGCCTGTGAACACAGCTTTTGTTTAAGTACTTTTTAAGTGTTTCAAAGAGGTGTTGAATAATGAGTTGACCTGTCTCTTTCTGTTTTGCTTATTAGGAGACTGCAGATTTAGGCCAGACAGAGGCACAAAATTATCTTGGGAGAACATAAGGGAAGGCATCAACTTGGCGGTAGAAATTGCAAAGGTACAAGACAAAGCTAAACAAATAAAGAAATAAAACAAGCATGCACTGCCACAGTTAGTGTATGTAATTGATTATCTTGAAAATGTGTCAGCATCATTCATTTTTAACCGATACACAGTGTATCAGTAAATGTTTAGGGTTGGCTCATTCTACGTTGACTGATATGCCAGTGTGTGTACTGTGTTCACACTTTATAGTCTATGTTTCGGGTTTGTTGGGACCATAGACTGTATGTACCTTTTTGGTGGAAAATTAATTGACTAATCTGTAAATTGGTTCATAGCTTAATTGATAGGGAAATGGTTGTCAGTGGCAGCCCTGACATAAACAAAAACTCATTCTGACTCATTGTTTGATATTTTTACCAGGTGCTGTTGTTGCTTGTTTACCATGATATCATGAATGACCGCTCCACTTTAAACACGTTGGAGTGTGCTGTGGAGGTAAGCAGAGAGCTGTTTTTCTGGTTTGTTTTAGTGAAAGTGTTCTGTGCCCACCACTGAGATGCATTACATTTGAGTCATGTTATGTTTTATTGCCTTTTTAAATTCGGTGTGTTTTTTTTATATCCCCACTGTTTTCTGTTAGCAAGAGATAGCAAACCTAACGGGCAACTTTGTGTTGGAGAGTGAGGGTTTTGTTTCTTTGAGCAACGGACTTGAGGCCTATTTGAGAAGGAAACGTAAGTCACAAATTATCTTCATCATGCCATATTAAGAGGCATTAGTGTCATGTAATATTTTTATATAACGCCAGCTCTCTGGTTTTGAATTTAATATGCAAGCTATAAACGTTGTCAGCCTATCTTTATGAATTTCAGATTTGCCCATCTCCTGTGAAATATTTGAACAATCAGCAACCACCTCTTCCTCCAGTGCGTCAACAACCTCCTCACTGTCAGAAGATGAATCCCCCTTCTTCTGCCGCACATCAAAAGTCACATTTGTGGGCATGCAGGCTGTGGCTTCGTCATCAGTCAGGTATCAGTGTGGATTTAAGTTTATCAAACACAGAGGTTATTGCATTAATCAGGTGTGAATAAATCTTATGGACCATGTTAAACCAAGCTTCATTTTCTTGAAATTGAAGTGGTAAGAGGGAAAAAGCCAGGCTTAATTTGCTGTGGGGTAAATGGGATAATACAGTATATTTGTGAGGTTTATCTGATAAGTTACTGAACCTTGTCACCAAATATTTTTTAGCTTGCTAAACTGTATGTCTCAATTAAAAGCCTGAGACAATAAGACTTTTTTTTTTTTGTGATGAAATCCTGTAGTTCATTTCTAGAGTAGTTGAGTCCATCATACTGTGCCAGTCTTGCTTTAACTGAGATCTTAGTGGTTACTCCATAACAAAAAAAGCTAACTTCATAGGGTTGCATATAGTCACAATATTTAATACACACATATCTAAGTCACTCCATTGTCATTTTTTGTAGGGATGGGATAATATGTCGAAATTCACTGTATCGTGGTCTAGATACACCAGCAATTTCATAATTTTATGTAAATGGCCTAACAAAATGTAAGTCAGTATATCTTGTTGTTCTTTACATAATCAAGCCAGTGCTGGAAAAGGTGATGAAAGAAGTGGAATAAAGTATTCCACAGCTAGTCATACATTGCTGTCATTGAATTTTTAATTGTATTGTGATTGAATCAAATCGTGCATCAAATCTTTGAGGGGAAAAAAAAAAAAACACATTGTCACATCCCTAATTTTATGTATACAAGTTCAGGAGGCATTATAATTTAGATTTTAATTCTTTACCTTGCCTGTCTGATTTTATTCCCACAGTAAATCTCCTCTGCAGGAAATTATGAACACTCCAAAATTTCAGATGAGGAAGATGCAGCGACAGATGATGAAGGAGAGAGACTACAGAGATGGTTTGGAGAGGGAGCTGGCCAGCAAGCTTGCGGCCCTTGCACAGAGAGGTAACCACATTTAAGTGTTTGAGTTATAAAGCACTGTTAGTTTAATAAGAAATAGGTCAAATGTTTGTTTTTTCCTGTTTCGTTTACAACTGCTTAACAAACTCAGTGTTCTGTCAAGGTTGTTCTAAAAGTGTTCACTGTAGTTTTCTGAATAATAACCTCTTTAAATTCTCTGTCTTCAAATTAAAATTAGCTCTGTACTTTTTTTTTCGTAGAGTCTTGCATCACACAATTGCAATACCACCTGGATAAACTGAAAGAAGAGCACAGTGATCAGGAGCAGCTGACCAAACAACAAATTGATCAGCTTGAGACAAAGAATAGCATGTAAGTACCCAAGGAAAAGGCTAAACAAAATTTTACAATAAAACTTTTTGACTGTTGGTAAAGCCTTTTTGTTAATAAAAGACTATGTTTTAACTGGAGATTTTAAATAGTATTTACTTCTGCAGGTTGTGACACTCCCAAACTGAGCTTGTTATTTTGTTCAGGCAATATTTTGGTCAAATACAAATCAGAACTTATTAATTAAAGCTGCTTTAACTAACTTCTCCCTCGAATTTTTGACTGTTAAGAGCAAAGTGACAGTCAAAACAAACTTGAGCAGTGTCCTGTCCAATTCTCCCTCCGCTCCTCTTTTCCCTTCTTGCCCTGTCTGTGAAACTATGTCATATGTGGTCACGACAGCTGGAGACAGGTAGTGCAGCAGTAATAACCAGCTCCAGAACTAATGTATATGGAATATAGAACCATTGAGCCTGTGGTTTTTAGTGGCATTGCAGCAACATAGTGTCAAATAGAGGTTTACATTTTAGTGGTATACATATATACTGTATGTCTAACGTTGTTTGTAGCTGATATATCTTCAGGAACACAAGCAAATTATACAGAGGAATTTTTTTTCCCCAGTAATATTGATACAGTACTAATGTTCCCACCACTATCGCATCATATTCAGTGTTACATACTTGACACATATAACATTATTGGGTAACTGAGTTGTATGTGAAAACAAGAGACATTCCATGTTATGCTTTGATAGTTGAACTCCCCACATTTCTAGTTGTGTTGATGCCCTGAGTTTTAACAGCTTCTCACTAAACTGCTACATGGACTGCAGTGTTATGTCTGACACAGACTGGACCAAAACCGAGTAAAAATTTGCAAACTAAGCAAAGTTTCATCATTTGTTAATCCAGGAAAATGCGCTGGTTTCTGCTAATTGGACAACAAAACACAAACATTAGTCAGTTGGAATGACTCCAAATTACAGCCAGAATAATTCAATACAAATGTACAAAATTGAAAAGGTAACATTAGCTTGGTAATGATGCCAACATATACACGTTACCGAGCTACAGTACTTGAAATCTAGCAGGAAGAAAGCCAGATCTGCGTCAAAGTTTACTCCTTTGCATGCTTCTAATGCTCTCCATCTCCGATATGCCAAACCGATGTTAACTTGCCTCACCCTCTTTCTGTGCTACAGAACGTGACCTCTTTGGTCTAACAGCCTCTGCTCCCACCCTGGGTTGTACCTGCAAAGGGAGCCTCCATGGTCTGTCTTTGAAATCAGCCATACTGATTTGACAAATACTTTTATAACTTCGGATCAGCGGAGGCGTGGAGGAAGTGCAGTACGGGTTTTAACAGCACTGGACACAAGAGGGAAAGAAAAAACACAGGGCTTGAAGATAGCAGTGGGGGGTGGCAGGTTTCGACCAATGGGGAGAAAACGCTTCTTGACAATTTTTGTACTAAATCTTAGTTAATGCAGCTATATATCCTAATATTTACTATTATATACTCCACATAACAATATCATTATTTGTAACAAGTCTCACTTTTTTATGCAAAAGAAAATATTTATTTCATATCAAACCATGTCCAAAACATTAAGGATTTTGTGTAAAAGTAAAGAAACAGCTTTACCAATTGTTCGGTTTCTTAGGTTACAGATGCGCTTTAATGAGGTCTTAAAGCAAAATAAAGACTTCAAGAGCACATCTTCGCTTATGGAGCGCAAAGTGGATGAACTGACAGATGAGAATGGTGTTCTGTCTTCCCAGGTAATAGACTTGCAAAGTTTGTCAAATCCACTGCTATCAATCCATTTAGCAGTTCTTATGTTTGAGAATGTATTAATGCGAATAAACCTCTGAACTTGTAAATGTCATAGTGTGAATTTTCAGTGTGATCAGCATTAGTATCGACCCTTTATTAGTCACATGTTGATGCTGTGATCAAAACTTTTACATAATACACATTGTAAAGACGTGTCTTTTCCCCCACAGTTAAGAGCAGTGCGTTCACAGCTTGCCACTTTTGAGGCAGAAGTTGTCCAGCTCACAGAAAACCAAGTATCGGCTGAGGAGGAGTGGAGGAGCAAAACAGCCAACCTACAGTATGAACTTAGCCAAGCCACTGCTCTAAAGGTAGCATGTCTTTTAAAACAGAAGTCGTTTAGCAAATTGTTTACTTTAGTCTTTAATTAATCCAGAGCAATTCAGTGTTGTGTAACATAATGTAATGGTTTAAGTGTTATCATTGTTGAAGAAATGACACCAAATGTGTCACTTGTCATGTAATAATAAATCAAATCTTTTTTTTTCTTTGAATCTGGAAGAACTGAGTAATGTGTAGAGATATCCCAGTACCCTTAATTATTTAAATTGGCTGTCAGGTTGACATTAGATTAATTATGCTTGGCAAAACGACAGAAGAAAGGGAACTTTATAGTTTTAATGTACAATACTACACTTGTTTTTCAGGAGCTCCTGACTGAACAAATACAGATTCTCCAGGGAAAGATTTCATGTTTGGAGGATGAAATAAAAAAGTCCACAACAGAAGAAGTTGGGGAAAATATGGGTCTTGTAATGGAGGTAAAGTGCATGATTTGGTGTAGAAATTGTTGTTTTTATTTATTTATTTATTTTAATCAAACTGAATACAAATTGCCTTCTTCTTACATTGCCAGATCCAGGATCTTAAGTTTCAGCTTGAGCAAGTTGAGCAGCAAAAACATGAGCAGGTGACCAGACTACAACAGCATATCACTGCTTGTGAGAAAGAAATTGAGACGCTAAAAGAAGTTAAAAAAGAGAAGGAAGACCTTCTCCAGCAGACTGAAGAAAAGGTCAAAGATCTTGAGACCAAGTTATTGGCTGCTTGTTCTGCTGTAGCTGATAAGGACCAACATATTAATAGGCTCAGGGAAGAAGTTGACATCCTTACAGATGAAACTAAAAAACACAAAGATGAGATTCAAGCCAAAGAGGAAATGCTTGCCACATTACTTCTTCAGAAGTCTAATGAGCAAGAAATTCTTAATAATAAAATTCAGATCTTAACAGTCCAAGTAGAAGACCTTAACTTGTCTCTCAAGCAGGCTGAGCAGGAAATTCAACTTAAACAAGACCTGTTGGCTAAAATCCAGCAAGAGAATATCCTGCGAAGGGAGCAACTCCAACAACAGATTGTAACCTATGAAGAACAGGTTAAGACCCTTAGTGCAGAGATGCAGATCAAGAATGAGCATCTTATTAATCTAAAGAATGACAGCTCTCGACACACTGAATCACTGCAGCAAGAGATTAAAGATCTAAAAGATCATATAGAAAGCCTGAATAACTGTTTCAAAAAGGCTGAGGAAACAGTTCAGGCTCAGCAGGTTATGCTTACAAAGCAGGAGCAAGAGGGTGCTCATCAGGCAGAACTCCTGCAACAACTGTCTGCCTCAGAAGAGATGATAAGGATTTTGAAGGAGGAGATCCAGACTAAAGAGCAGCAGATAAACATGCTAAAAAATCAAAGTTCAGAGCAGGCAGAACTACTGCTGCAAGAGATACATGAATTAAAGAAACAGATAAAGTGTCTTGGTACATCCCTACAGTCTGCTGAGGAGAATTTGCAATCCAAGGAAAATCTGTTTGCCCAACAGCAACTACAGAGCAGTCAGCACATGGAGGTGCTCCAGGCACAAATGGAAACATTGCAGGATGAGGTGAAGAGGCAAGAAGCAGAGGTTCATGCCAAGGAGGAACAGTTGGTTCAACTAAAGACTGAGACCTCTACACACTCTGAAACACTGGAGACGGAAATTGAAGATCTGAATAAACAAATAAAAAGCATGTGCAATTCCCTTGAGATTTCCCAGCAGCAGGTTCAAGCCAAAGAAGATCTGATGGCCAAGCAGGAGCAGGAGAGCACTTTGCAGATTGAGGAACTTAAAAAGCACAGTTCAGCCCTTGAAGGGGAAGTTAGTCAGCTGAAAGAGGTGATCCAGTCCAAGGAGGAGAAGATGAATTTGCTGAAAAGTCAAAGTTCAGAACAGGCGGAACTATTGCTGCATGACATCCATGAATTAAAGAAACAGGTTGAGTGTCTTGGTACATCCCTACAGTCTGCTGAGGAGAATTTGCAATCCAAGGAAAATTTGCTTGCCAAACAGCAACTACAGAGCAGTCAGCACATGGTGGTGCTCCAGGCACAAATGGAGGCATTGCAGAATGAGGTGAAGAGGCAAAAAGCAGAGGTTCATGCCAAGGAGGAACAGTTGGTTCAACTGAAGACTGAGACCTCTACGCACTGTGAAGCACTGCAGCAAGAAATTGAAGGTCTGAATGAAAAAATTAAAAGCATGAGCAATTCACTTGTGATTTCCCAGGAGCAGGTTCAAGTTAAAGGAGATCGGATGGCCAAGCTGGAGCAGGAGAGCGCTTTGCAGATTGAGGCATTGAAAAAGCACTGCACAGCCCTTGAGAGGGAGGTTAATCAGCTAAAGGAGGAGATCCAGTCCAAGGAGGAGCAGATGAACTTGCTAAAAAATCAAAGTTCAGAGCAGGCAGAACTGCTAATTGAAGAGATCCAAAAGTTAAAGAAACTGTATGAGTGTCTTGGTACATCCCTACAGTCTGCTGAGGAGAATTTGCAATCCAAGGAAAATCTGTTTGCCCAACAGCAACTACAGAGCAGTCAGCACATGGAGGTGCTCCAGGCACAAATGGAAACATTGCAGGATGAGGTGAAGAGGCAAAAAACAGAGATTCATGCCAAGGAGGAACAGTTGGTTCAACTAAAGAATGAGACTTCTACACACTCTGAAGCACTAGAGAAGGAAATTGAAGGTCTAAATCAACAAATAAAAAGCATGTGCAATTCCCTTGAGATTTCCCAGCAGCAGGTTCAAGCCAAAGAAGATCTGATGGCCAAGCAGGAGCAGGAGAGCGCTTTGCAGATTGAGGAACTTAAAAAGCACAGTTCAGCCCTTGAAGGGGAGGTTGATCAGCTGAAAGAGGAGATCCAAGCTAAAGAGAGAAAGATTGAAATATTAAAGGTTGAGAGCTGGAAGGAGTCAGAAGTGCTGCACCATGAAATCCAAACTCTCAGAGGTCAGGTGCAAAGTTTGAGTGAGTCACTGAAGACTGCAACAGAGCAGATTCAGGCTAAAGAAAATCTGCTGGCTCAGAAGGAATTGGAAATTTCTAAGGAAAAGGATTCATTTCAAAGCATGACAACAACCTCTGAAGCAGAGATAAGAGGGCTTAAGGAACAACTCCAGGCTAAAGAGGAACAACTAGTCACACAAAAAACAGAGGAAGCCAAACATTCTGACATGCTTCAGCAAGAGATCAAATGTCTAAAACAACAACTAGATAATATGGTTGAGTGCCACACAAAAGCTGAGGAACAGGTTCAGGCTCAACAGAATATGTTTAACAAGCAAGAACAGGAGACTGTTCATCAGAAGGAGCTTCTGCATCAACAATTGTCAGCTTCTGTGGAAGAGGTGAGGAAACTTCAAGAGGAGATCCAAGTTAGAGAGGAAGAGATGATACTGCTAAAGACTGACAATACAAAGCATTCAGATTTGCTAAATCAAGAGATCCAGTGTTTAAAGCAACAGGTGGAGTCTCTAGTCTCCTCATTGAAAAAGGCTGAGGAGGAAATGCAATCCAAGGAAGTTTTGTTGGCTCAACAACAGCAAGAAAATACTCACCAGATGGAGGCACTCCAGAGTCTACAGGAGGAAGTCAAACAAGTTGAGATTCTCCAGAAACAGATTTACTCTCACGAAGAGATGTTTCAAAAACTAAAAGAATCTCAGCTTGAGAAAGAGAGCCTCCTTCTAAAGGCTGAGCAGCAGTTACAATCAGTAAATGCAGAGCTGACCCAATACAAAGATGCTGCAGTCCTCAAACTGCAAGGAGTAGTACAAGAGTTGCATGTTGCCAGTTTAAGAGAAAAGGAGGTGCTTGTTCAGGAAAAAGATGTACTCATGGCAAGGATACTCCAGGCAGAAGAAGACCATAAAGCTCTTGAGAAGCAGGTTGAAACTGTGGTCTTGGAGAAGGAGAGACTTACTGAAGCCAAACAGGCCTTAGAGAGAGAAAAAACAGCCTTCTGTGAATTGGAATCTGCACTACAACAGAAACTCTTGAAAGAGAGAGAAAAAGTTGAAAAAAATGAGATGCTAAAGAGAGACCTGCAGGAACAGCTCTCAGCAAAATCAGAGGCTGTAGAACACTACAAGGCACAGGTTGGTGTGACCACAAACAGTCCCCACAAACTATAATGCAATTTAGTCTGACTACTTGTATTTCTGTGTGCATGTTTCTTCAGTCATATAATAGATTCACATCTTTTCCTTTTTGCTTATTCCTCCCTGACCACTAACATCAACTTTGTACTGCAATGTAATATGTTCTTGATTGGTTTATCTTTGGTGATGGATGAGTGGTCTCAACCTAGTGATTGATGCTATTTTTATCAATAGATGGAGAAGGCAGTAAGTCATTACAATGACAAGAAGCTGCTCCTCCAGAAAAGCCAAGAAGAAGCAGCTAAACTGAAGCATTCCTTAGAAGTTCAGGAGTGTAAATTAAAGACTGTTAATTCAGAAAAGGAGCAACTTCAGTTGGATTTGGACAATGCCCAAACCAGTGAGAAGAATCTTTTGAAAGTGGTGGCCAGTTTGGAAGCACAGGTTGGTATTGTGTTCTAAGCATAAGAAGTGAATACAGTGAGCATGAACACATGACTGAAACACTGTCACTGCACTTTTAAAAAGAAGAGAACTTTTATAGTTCAAGGCTTTTGATAGACATTTGATTTGATTTATTTATTCTTTCAAACATGTAACAACAGTCAGTATGTAATCACACGTAATTCCAGACATATCCACAAAAATATTTTCAATGTGCTTATACCTAGTACATGCTTGAACGGAGTAGGAAGAAGTTAGACTTATCTAGTCCTACCCTCTAACATCATCTTATCATCATTGGTTTGCAAGCAGTATTACTACATGGATACATATTCTACATCCACACTCCCATCTGATTAATCATTAAGCCTGTTCTTGCCCATATCTTGATTGACACATACCTTTATATCTATGTTTAAACTCATCAATTTTCTTACTGGTTTTTATGTCCATACTTAAATTATTCCATAGTTTTACTCCACTTATCGAAATACAAAATCTTTTTTTGGTGGTGCGTATAGCATGAATGTTATAATTTAACTGACCCCTTAGATTGTATTCCCCTTCCCCCTTATGTCATCGTGATCTCTATAACTATCTGTTTACCTTCAGTTGGCCTTTGCTGACCACAACCTGCGGGCACAGAATAAGATTGATAATCATGGAAGAAGAGCAGAGTCACTTTACTTGACGGTTCCCTGTGCGCAATCAGATACTGATACTGGAGCTCTGGTGAAGAGGAGCATGAGTTCTGACAGCCTGGAGCACAGCTCTCTGGAAGACTCTCTGAATGCCGCAAGGTAATCTTTCTCCCAGAGGAGCAGCATGAAATCTCTTCAGGCTTTTTAAAAATGTGTTTAGTTTGTATTTGCTGTCTCTTAACATGGGTTGGATACACTATACATATGCATTTTATGGGTAGCTAGTAATTCCCTTCTTGCTTACTATTTGTCAGAGATTTGGACGCGTTTCCCCTCCAAGTTGTCTGCAGGCTCCTGTGTGCTTTTTGTACACCAAGAGCTTCCAATGTGCAAGTGAACATGCACCCAGTATAGACGCGAGCTTTGCTCGAGTTGCACATAAGATGCTACATGCTGCACATGCTACACTTTTGGTTAGTGCCACTGTGTGCGTGACGTGGACTGTCGTGCCTCTAAATCTGACTGGGACAGGATTGGATATCTCAGAGCAATCTGCTGATCACACTGAAAACTGGCCATTTCTGATCTCCGCCAATCGACTGGTGCACCTCTAATTACATGTACAGTATGTTGGGAATTTAATGTGACTGTAATTTTTCCTTTGCAGGAAATTTTCAGCTTCTGATAAATCAAGCACACCATGTGTTCGCAGTTCAGAGCGTCTGGCAGCCAAACGCAAAGGTCTACGGACTGAATCACTGGAAACCTTGTACTTTACGCCTATAAAGACTAAAAAGATCGGCAGGTATGGTACCAAGGTGTCGATCGTGGTATTTACAAAACAACCACCTTTTACAAGGTTTTTCTGTTTTACTATGAGTGAGTGAGGTGGGTGTTTTATTTTCAGTCATTAGAGAAAATATATCATTGCAAAGCAATGCTCTTCAGGACCAACTGAAATTCTATTATTTCTTATGTGTCACTAGTAACTTAATGTGTTCCTGTTTACATTTCTTATGCTAATTGTAGACCTGATAAAAGCTGTGGCACTTGTATGAAGATGAAAGTTAAACAAATGGAGAGCTCTTATGATACAATGTACAGCCTTTTCTGTATAGCTTATCCAGATAAGATGCAATAGTCCTGACTCCAGGCATTATGTTAAAGCATGCAGCAACTAATACTGAGTTACTTAAGCTGCACCTCCTTTACATGTTATTTAAAATGTCCAGTGATTTGTCTGTTTATAACATGCAAATTTTTTGTATACTGAGATCCTTGTTTTTATTATTTTTAATTGTCCAGGAATGGAACAGAACACAACATGGAAATGGATTCAGGCTGGGATAATCCTGCATCATCTGTAAAACGACGCAGGACCACACAGGTTATAAACATCACAATGACCAAGGTGGTGGAAACTCACCTGCACGCTTGCATGTTCACAACACAGTTTGAAGATGCAACACTGGAATAATTACAGTGGTTTCAGTCTTACTCTTTCATGTTTAAGCTAATCATTACAATACAGAAAATTTAATTTTGTATTTTTTTTTTTTAAGGTTTTTAAACTTGATTTGGTTCTTATAACTTGATTCCTAGTGTGTTTTTAATACTTTAACAAGAACATTACTGCCAATGCTGCTCTCAGTACACTTCAGTATTGTAAAGATGCATTTAAATGGCTAAACCAAATGTTCTAACTTTTAAAACATCCTCACACATACACTTCAGCTTATTGTAGTCATTATTGATTGTTAAACTTTGATCCTGCAGAGAACCCCTGGATTTAGTGAAAGTGATGAAACTTTCTATAGTCTGAATTCAGCTCGCTCCCACCAAAGCATTTCAAGGGCCTGCCCTTCAAGACGCACATCTCCGGAGAGGCTTGACACAACTGCCATAGCAACTGGTGTTGCCAGCAACCAGCTCACCGGCTTACCGGGGTACAGACGGAGCACAGTCCATTCACAGAGTAAGTAGAAACCGGGATGACTTGTACAAGGTTGTACTGAAGGGTGGGAAATTAAGTGAGAAGTCAGGCTGTAGCAAAATTGTTTGATTAATTAACTGTTCCAGCTTTACATAGAACTTCTCCAGACCAGACTGCTTGACTTCTTGTTTACATTTACACTTCAAGAACCATGAGTGTAGCAACAAACATGAGATATCTTGACTTTTATATTTAAATATATCATGTTTTCCTCAATATACACTACTTATGATTATGAGCAGTACTGTTTATAGCCTCAGCCCAATCACAGTAATCTGAGCACCCACCCAATTCTTAGCTTTTAAACAGCCTACATATGTTTAATGTTTTACCTACAAGATTCTTGTTTAGTGTCTTTGTTCACCATCTATGATGTGAAAACGTAATTTATTACTGTCAGCTATAGTTGGTCACCCTGTGTGACAGTAGAGGAGGTTATACCAAGGTCTGGATCAAAAGTTGTTTGGAGTACTTTGCTGGTATTCAGTACCAGAGCAGCAAACTGCAATGTATTGCACTGCTCCCCCGCTTCATCACTGTTTCTTATTACAGCTTGTTATTGAACTCTGATCCTTCGTGACTAACAACTTGATTCACCAATGTTTAGTGGGCAGCACTACTCACTTGGTTATTGAATAATGGTAACCAAACACAGATTAGTGTTGTTAACAACAGAATTTTTCAAAGCTGTGTTCATTATTTTTCCAACATCTGTTTGTCTTCAGCCACTAGTACATTCTGTGTTGGGACAGAGAATGAACCAGAGGTAACGCCTGAAGACTGGATGAGGATTGCTGAGCTCCAGGCCAGAAACCAGGCCTGTCTTCCGCATCTTAAGAGCAGCTACCCTGTTGAGTCTGAGGTGATGTGATGGGGACACTTGCATGCATGCATGCTGAACATACACACACACATTGATTCAAATAATTAGTAGTCAGAAGTGGTGAATATGAAAATATAATATAGACAATGACTATATAAAAGCTGAACACTGTGATGTCACCCATAGGTTTCCTGAAAAGTGGGTTTGAAGCTCCAGTCTGGCCATTGCCATATTGATAGTGCTTCACTCAGCCTGCTAAGTCTAATCCAAAGATGGGCAAACAGAGCGTGAGTGGAGCTGAGGCCGGCTGAATAGGCAGAATGAAGCTAGTTACCAGTGGTTGGACCCCCCCCCACCTGTTACTCAAAGAGACTGTACCCTTAATTATTTGTAAATTTCAGTCTGAATATAATTTAAATGGGCGAGTTATAAAAAAAAAATAAAATTTAACCCCCTGTATAGTTGTCATGAAAGGGGAAATTAGCTGTTGAGACCAAAATCATTTTTTTGTACCAGGCTGCAAACATTTTCACTTCTGCTGTAAAGTTGGCATTTTTACATGGGACTCTATGGGGACTGGCCCCCTTTTGGAGCCAGCTTCAAGTGGCCATTTGAGGAACCGCAGGTTTTGGCACTGCCTTGGTTTCATTTCTCAGCTTTAGAGGTTGCTGCTTGTTTACACGTGGTGGTTATGGCACCACACCAGAAATATTCAGCATATAAAGATTTACACATTAACCTTTACTGAAAATAAGGCAATACTGGCTTAACGCCATTATACATTGACTACTGCCCACAATGCCAACAAATGGTTTTTGTAGTTGACTACTTGAATAGGCTAGTAGTTGGTGAAAGCCTTCATTTGAATATAGCAAATTGACTGCTCTTTTATAACCTTTTTTCCCCCATAGTGCTTTATAATTTACATCTTATTCACTCATTTACAGTCACACACAAATTGCAGTGGGTCACTGTATAAGGTGCTTTTCCTAACCCCTGGGAACAACTTGAGGGTCAATTTCTTGCTTTAGGCATTTTGCTGAAATCTTGCCTAAAGCTGAAATATTATGACTAGCTTTAAAAGATAGTTTGACTGTTACTTAATGTTGCCGTTTTATTTTTACTTACTAATTTTATGACATTCCTCTGTTTGTTCCCCTAGACTGGCTGTAGTAGTAGATTGGTTTTCACAGATGAAGACCTCCGTACAGGCAATCCATCGGAAACAATCCGTAGGGCATCTATGATGCCCAGACAGATTGAAGACTCTCTTGTCTCCCATCGTCACTCCCTCATGCTCGGACAAACTGGTTTCGCAGGCACTCTGTCCAACAATCTTTCCTCCATGCCCACTCAGCAAAGAAGCATGAAAGGCACAAAGCAGTCATCATCTGTATTGTCTGCACATCACAGTTCACCAGAGGTTGGTCTGCACAAGAATATTAGTTGCATGTTGTGTTATTTAATGTTTGAGCTTGATTTTAGTGCAGTAATGGCAGAAATGTTCCTTCATCTGTAAACTATCCTGTCATATTATGTCTTTTTCACTACTCTAAAGACCACATTTGATTGAGCCTTGTGAAAATGTTTGTCCTAACACCTAAAAGAATTTTAGACATGCTTTTTGAAAAGATCTCATGCAGCAGATATAATTCCATTCTATCAAATGTGTCAATCCACACTGGTTCTAACATGTGCTAAAGATGCAGGTCTCCCCTGGACACACACCCCCGGCATGTTAGTGAAGCATAATCACAGCTACTGCTTTGTCTTGCAAACATTATACTGGTATCTGTTATGAAGGATAAGGCTCCTGAAGCACAGTAGTAGTGATCAGGCTTGTGTTGGTTGCTTATTTCATTGGTAATCAGAAGTTTGACTGTTCAATTTCTGATCTTATTATTTTTCTTGAACCTTTGTTCCCTATCACAATCTGACAGAAAAAGGTGAAGGTCAACAGCTTCTCCCGTCCTCTGACTCCCAAAAACAAGAACCTGAACAGTGGACCTTTACCGGTAGGATGAGGACAGTGACACACATTTTGTTTATGTATGCAGTGTTTTCATACTTCTTTAACTTTTGCTGTTCTCTTAGGCTGAGCGGAGGCAGTCTATGGTGTTCACAATTGACAACACACCTAAAAACAGCCGATTAAAAAAGGGGCTGAATAAATTGCGCAGCTCCAGCAGGAAATCCCCGGGAAAAAGTTTAAAGGGGTGCCAGGAAAATGTGCCTTCTGGAAATTCTCGAGCTGCACTGAGTCAAGCTGTTAGAGCTGCTAAGTCTCCTGGATTGACAGCCAGTGCTCGCAAGGTATCTCACACAGACAAATCCATTAAAGGTTTTTCAGGTTCCACCTAATCATTTTTAGGCTACCCTCTGGAGTTTTCCCTGCCAACACTTCATTTTTCTATACCAGCCTACTGCTTGTTATGTACTGGCAAGGGTGGGGAAATCTGCTAACCTGGAGTGTCTGTGACAAATACTGCACACACAGGCAGCAGCTAATGACATGTAAAGTTTATCACACCAAAGAGCCACAGGTAGTGGACATTTTATGTTAAACTTGAATCTTTTTACATCTTCGAAGTGTTGAGCAGAGCACAAAAACTGTTCGATATGGATTTAGCATGACAAGCCATGTGAGATGTTCTGGAATGTATATAGTTTTGTTGGTATACATATATGGTTTGCAGTGGAATTGCCACCCTAATGATGCTGTACCTGTCAAGGTTGGGTGCACTGTCTTAGTATTTAACGCATTTAAAATGTCTATGCAGTGTTGCTCACTAAAACTAAATGTATAGATCTTTCAAGGGAAACGAGCATGGTGAATAAGTGTCTCATTTTAAACATCCGCAGAAAGTTATTTGGTTATTACTAAACCTCGCAAAATTTACATTGCTCTTGTACGAGACCGTATAGTGGTAGTCATGGCAGGAATTCTGAAGTAAACAAGAGCCACCTGCATATGTGCGAGATAATTTGTTTTAAGTGATTACACTTAAAGCTACAGTATGTAACTTTTTCAAATATTTTTGTTGTAGAAATATGCTCCAAAACTTGTCTTAATGCGGAGAGGTGCTGTCGAAGCGGAGTGGACAGATTTCGTTTCATGCTAGCACTACCTTAACTGACATGCTGCAGTTTTAATCATAACTGAGCTGTTGCATTTATTTTTCTATGATTCTAATAATTTTAATTACCCATTCACACATGATGGGAACAAAGCAATATAATTCAGGCTAACACACTACCACTAACTATGGCCTCAAATAATTGTAGAGTTGAATTAACCAACATATCTGCAACAAATGAAACTTAACTGGCGATTTATGGCTGGGATATTATGTACTTTGAATTGGATTGTATGAGTTTACCTAATGAAATAACTTTGTAGTGGTATAAACTAATGAAACAAGTTGTTTGGAATATGTTGCATTTTGGCAACTACTGAATTTAACTTGTTTTCAGGTGTAAATGTGGAAAACCTTTCAACAAGCATTTTAAGGTCAATAGTAATTTTTGATTTTCTTTGTTTTTGTGGCACTTATTAAATATTGGTTGTGGGCTCTTGTGGTATGGTAACTGTGTGGGTTTTTTCCTCCCACTTTTCTTTTTTTGGGGTATGGGGTCTATGGACTTGCGGAGAATCCACGTCTCCTATTAAAGTGCTCATGGCGTGCTCATTTTGCTCATTTCCAGCCATTTAATGTTTAATCTTGGGTACCTCTAGATTAGCTTGGCACCCATCATAACTCCAAATAGTCTGTATTTATTTCAGAACAATAAAACCAGAGAGCCTCTTCCTAAAAATGAGAGGATAGTTCATGAACAATCAACTGCTGCTGCTGGTGTTGTGTTGACAGTGGACAGCACAAGGAACTGCAGCAGCATTAATTTAAATCTCCTCCATATATGGGTAAACAATGGTATATGTACTGATGAAAAGAGATGTGTAATACTCAACAACAAAGCTGGTAGTTGAGAAACCCCATATTTTAACTGGCATAATGCAGAAATACTAACTTCTCCAGCCGTACAATAATTCTAACGTTACAGTGTTTTTTGTTTTGGTTTGGTTGCCTGTAGGTTAGACCCGGTCAAGTCCATGTACAGAAACATTCCTGGACATGCTGTAACTTCAGACCCTGTATTTTTCTCCACATCCTCTGTTCACAGTGCAGCAGCAGGTGGAAGAATATATCAAAAAAAAAAACTGCATGTAGTCAATAAATTCTGCCTTTAAAATGGCACAGTGGATTTTTTTTTTTAAAGCTTGATTGAAAATATAAATAACAAACAAGGCAATATAACATGCCAATATGTTCAGGGCACCAGTGGATGTCAGGCAAGGGTACATAAATGCACAACAGCCTGAATTTATGCCCATTCAAGGAAATCATTAAACTATCACGTAAATTATTTTGTTAGAAAAAAACTCTGGCGAGCGAGAATTTATGAGACGTGCATAAACCAAGTTGCTTCTGCATAAAAATACTAGAACATACTTGAACCTCATTTTTTGAACTTTAGGTCACATCTCAGATAATACTGTAATTCACTGTTGTAACATTGTAGAGAAGTCAGAAAACAAGATAAAGCATGCCATGGGCTCTTTAAACACAACATTTGAGTGTTTAAATGTGTTTATCTGTGAGCTTTTGTTTAATCCTTTTTTTTTCTTTTCTTCCCACAGATATTGAGAAAGATTACCTGATGTGTCTCCATTATTAAACTGGATTCATTTTTACAACTGTACTTTTACTCTTTCTTTAACATTTTTTTTTATTATTTCACTTTATTATGCCTATTTTCTTTAATAAATATTTTACAACCCACTGTGGGAAAGTGTGGTTCTTGAGCCAAAACCAGTTCTCAGAAATGAGTGCAGTCGATTGAATGTCCAGGTGTTTTTCACAGTATGGCATTGCTAATAACATAGATGGCTTTTTAAGGGCCCATCAACTAGCCCTACTACCCTTGAAGAAATTTCAAATTTGATATTTATCATTCCAAATGCCAGCAGCAGGTTTTCATCATCAATCACTCTTATGAGGGTCAGTCTGTCATGGGAATATTGCTTTGATGGCAATTTGGAACAAATGACTTGCCCCTTGGTGGAGGTCTTGTACTCTTGAGTGCTGTCTAGTTTAATCTAATTTGGATGGTCTAAAGTTTTTCATTGCTCCAGAAAAAATGACATTGGAATAAACAACAGAACAAAAGTGTTTAGATTGTAAATCAGGATTTTTTCCCCCCATCATACAGCATGACTGCGTGATTACTGATGTTCTTCCCCATACACACTTATGAATCAGATAAGGTCTGGCAATATGAGGATAATATATTATTTATGAAGACGAGTATTTCTGTAGCCTGCATAACGTGCTTTTATTGCAAAAGTATTCCGGAAATCTGCACTACGACTTCCGGCCTATATCCGGAACTGAAAGTTTTAGCTGACAAACCGAATCTGGAAGGTTCTTATAGCTATATGGTGGAAATACTTTACAGCTTATAGTTTGGTGGGGTTTTTTTGTTTGTTTGTTTGGTTGGTTGTTTTTTCTTTGTAGGTATCACTTTTTGGGAAACGATATCTGACGCGTCAATGTGTTTATATGACTTATGTGACCGTAAATTTCGCTGGCATAACGTCGACAGTAACAAGGGAGAGCGATGGTCTGTTAAAGCAACGTTAGCATGGTGGAGTCTAATATACCGATGTAACACTATTGCGATGAGTAAGATTTAATTAGCTAAAAGTCAGTCTACAGTAGCTATTTGTGAGACGTATACCCAGAGACATGGACCCGGACAATGAAGTGGAAAGGTGGGTTTTGACAGATAGGAGGTGGTTGGTTGTGTTCATCTGCCATATTTAATTGTGATTCTATGTCTTTTTTTTAAAGTGTCCTTTAGTTGGTTAACATAAAATTACATCAACTCTGTCGGCTAAGGCTCCTGTTTTAACAAGGGTTAACATTAGCTCTGGTTAGCTAGTGGTGGATTGTAACTAGCAGTGTCCCCATGGGTGTGTTTTAGCCAAGTTAGCCTTCTGTTTAAATGCAACTATAAATATAAATGATCGTGTAATGTTTTCTGTTGATGTAGCGGTATAAAACTAACGTCTAACTTATCTTTCTAGTCATATAACATGTTAGTAGACACGCCCAAAGAGTGCTAACTCCAGCGATTTAGATGATTTGAGAACTGTCCTTTAATGGACGTCTTACCGCTTTGCTGTACACACCAGGCTCGCCCGGATTTTACGGTGTATTATTACATTGCACAATTGGAAACCCTTATAATAAACACTTTGATTTATATTTGTAAGGGTTACATATTTGTGCTTATGTGTCCAAAAGGTTGGGGCTGAGGGACAGTCCAGCCCCCTAATTAATACTTGGAACCCCCACAATAGATTAAAAACAAGGTAGTTAGGGCTTTGATTCTGTGTAAAATTATGTTGTAGACTTTTTTTTCCTACAGTATGCCAGAAGAAGAGCATGTATGTAAACTAGTCCAAGTGTAGCCCTATTGCTTCCACTTCTACGGTGTGATTGGATTACCACTCCTTGCCCAGTCCATGTGACCCATGCACATATGTACAGAGTAGAAATTATTATTGCTTTCTATCAACAAAGAGACCATTCACTTCGGATGATCATGTTTATCACTCCAGGCATGGTATATGTCAATGTAAAGAAAATTTAATCTGTTACTTACTGTGCTGCACTTACTGTAAGCAAACAAAGACTATTTGAAGAAGCAGCTCAATGGGTATATGTAGTCATTAGAAGATGTCACTCTTTTGCCCACATTTGCTCTCATTTATGATTATCATAGAGTTAATACTACAGAGGTTACCATTTCTGATGGACCATACACACTCATCTTCTGACTCACTGTAAACGCAACAAATGGTAAAAATGTATGATTTGACATCAGGAAGATACACAAGATTGGATGTGTCTGTGAAAGGGTCTTTTGCCCACATTTGCTCTCATTTATGATTATCATAGAGTTAATACTACAGAGGTTACCATTTCTGATGGACCATACACACTCATCTTCTGACTCACTGTAAACGCAACAAATGATAAAAATGTATGATATGACATCAGGAAGATACACAAAGATTGGATGTGTCTGTGAAAGGATAATATTAGCTCACATAGTCTGTGAAAGGATACAGTTCTGGACATCACATTTTCTCGAATACAACATATGCTACTTGTATTTGAAGTATTTCAGTGCATGTGCTACAGTTCAACTATCCTAGGGAAATATTGGTCATTAGTTACCCATTAAACTAATTTGGGGTGGTCACGAGGTAGGGCAGTCGTCTCCGCGCATGCCTAGGTGTCCCTGAGCAAGACACTGAACCCCGAATTGCTCCCGGCGGCTTGACTAGCGCCGTTGTGTGGTGGCCTGTCGTCATCGGTGTGTGACTGTTGTGTGTGAATGGTGTATCATCTCCAGTAAAGCGCTATGGCCAGTGCAACACACTGTGGAAAAATGTGCTATATAAATACAGACCATTTAATTAAAACAATTTTCCACCCACTGTCACACTCTCTATTTGCCCCCTCAGCATCTTCAGGCGGCGGAACAAGGGCAATGATGAAGAGGAGAAGAATAAGTGGAAGAGACCACCCTCCAGTTATGGTTCAATGAAAAGCGACAGTGAAGAGATGCAAGAAGAGGAGCAAGAGGAGGGGAATGCAGAGGAGGTTGCTGTAGTGTTACCTGGTGCAGCAGAGACAGGGTAATGTGTTTTGGTTTGATATTTAAAGCTACAGTATAGGTGTACTTTTTATAACTATTGGAAAAAGTACTGCCTTTTTTGTGTGCCTGTACTGGAGGAACAGAGAATGGTAATAGCTCTTATAACACCCTTGTGAGGTACTTTTTTTTAGCTCCTTTTCAAATATGTCTATGAAATTATAAAAAATGAGAATGTAACAAAACTTGCTGATTAATCAGAAATGACATGATGGAAATGACAGCATTTGCTGACATTATTTTTAATATAAAACAACTAACCACACTACCCATATGCATGTATTCAGTAGAGATGAATAGATGCAAGGCCAGGTGTGTGTTTGGCCACAGACTAAGAAGTAATAAATACATGTATTGTTCATAACCATGGAGATCAGGGTTTGGGTTGACTTCCCTTCAGGCAAACACAGAAGTGTCATATCAGACAGTTTTATGAACAAGCCCTTAAGAACTTTAGTCAGCATTTTCAATGGGAAGACCAACTTGAACTGAAAATGCCCAGTTTCTATCTTAGCATGTTTTAGTAAAATGTGTGTTTGTGTGTGTGTGTGTGTGTATAGGGTAGGGACCTCCGAGAAGCTAAGCAAAGGCACCTATATATAGGCTGTGTGTGTGTGTGTGTGTGTGTAAATATATATACTGTATATTTGTAGAGCCCGACATGAGTTAGTTTTTCTTATTGCACCAGACATCAGAGTGGGTCGTGGGCCGTGTTATAAAGCAGTGCTGTGTTCAGCTACTTAGGAATGGCAAATAAATTGCCTGAATAGTTTTAAACTGTGAGCTACTCTTGTTAATGTTGACCAGGTTGCAGATGAAGCGCCCCGAGTCTCCAGAGACCCTCTACACCATGACCACGCAGCAGACCAAACCACCTGGAGCTGTTGTCATTGAAACCAGGTGTCCTGCCTTTTTGTTTGTTTGGATTAATGTCTTATTTGTCAGTGCAGCAGTATATTGTAATATATAGTTGTAAAAATGTGTTGTTAATTCTAGAAACTGGACAGGAAAATATTTAACTGAGCTACAATGTAAGGCATTTTACTGGGCCTGTTATATAGCTGAAAACTGGAAATTTGGTTTTCATTCAAAAATAAGTATTGCATAATGTCTCCTTTTATATGTATATTTATTTTTTGCTTGACTTCAGATATAATACCACATACAGCAGCATCATTGTGATCATTGGACAGTATTTGAAGTGCAGTCTTTGACCTGGGGTTCCTGTTGTTTTGCAGATCTTCTGATCCGGGAGATTTTTCTGAAGAGGATGAAGAGGTTGACGATGATGATGAGATTTTGATCGCTAACTCCCCAGAACCACCTGAGCCTGTTGAACCAGAAGATGCTACGCAGACTGACGACAACAGTCAGCTAGGTAGACTTCACCCTGAGCAGGACCTACCCCATATATTCAAGGTTTGTTGCATCAGAGTGGGGCTTTTTTTCACAGAAGTTGTTTCAATCTAAGGACTTGGACCTGTTAGATACAACACATTTTAACTGAATAATTATACATTAATTATGGAGACATTGATACATCCCAATAATAGAACATTTGCCATTTATGTTAAATGTCCATTACACCTTTATTATAATTTAAATGTTAAAAAGCTTTAAAGACAATGTTTTGCTTTGTTGCTGATCTTTCTTAATAAATGATAAAGTGGTTTCGACTTGTTATACACAGGGTGCTGACAATTTTCTGTAAGGCATCGTTTTAACTTCTGTATTTATAATTTATTCTTTATCTGTAGAGTATCCAGAATATTCTGACAGACCTCACCAAGGAGGAGTTATACAAATTTAAGATGTGGTTTTACCAATGGGAACCAGGTTTGACCCTGCAGCAAGTGATGGAGGGAGACATTCTTGATTTTGTGGACAAGATCATAGAGATACTTGGTAAGGAAGCACTGCTATACTGTATTAGGCACAGCATGAATGGTGCAAATGGATAGCAACATGTAGGGAAGTGACTGTTGGGGTGGTGGGTGTGAAGGTAATATTTATAGGAATATAAATATAGATTAAGTAGAAGACAACTT